ATTTCTTTTATGTGATGAAACATAAACTAAGTCTTACCCCTAATGAGATGCCCGTTTCCATAAATTTTGCAAGTAAAACTTGGGAAAAAACTTGGCAAATTTTGTTTGTCCATACACTTTTTTATTATTTGGCAAATTTTTTTGGCAAATTTTCCAAATTCCCAAATACTAGAAAAAACTAGTATTTGGGCCAAATTTCATTATTTGGAAAGTTTTAGAAATTCAATTTTTACCCTTAACTTTTTATTTTACAAAAATAATATATTTATTGATACCAACCAATAATTTTTTACGTGAACACCAAAGTAGTGATGGAATATTCAATGAATATTCAATGATGATATGGTTGTTGATGAAAGTGACGAACTATTGGCTCAGGGTAACAACATCGCTTCATCTTCTCGATCATCTGATTCGGAAATGCAAGCTCATCGAGAAGAGATTATTCATAAAATGTGGGAAGATTATATTAAAGAATAGGTTGAACTCTTTCAGATGAGAAAGCATAGGTTCTTCAGTGATTGCAATATTTATTTCCTTTTGTTTTCTTCTCTTTTTTTTCCCCGAATTTATATTAGTTGTATTTTCATTATCATGATTTGTACCAAGACCTTTTCACTATACAAATATTTACTAATGATTCTTGTTGATTTGTTGCGGAAGTCATAAATCTTGTTACGTGAGATTTCTATTGTGCTATGTAATACAAATTTATGGTTAGTTTGATAGTTTTAAAAACTTATGGGTATAAATCATATTTCTTAAAAAAAGGAAATATGTTTGTCAAATTCTATGGCCAAACACATGATAAAATTTCACCCAAATTTTCATCCAAATAATATTTGCCAAAAATATTTGAATATCTAGGGCCAAACGCTAGCTTAAGAAATACTATCACTTTTGGTGATAATACATTTCTTGCATCTTCCTTCAAAATTTAAAGTGTCTTGAGACGTAAAAATATTTTTTTTTTGAGTAAAATAGATGTAAAATGTAAGTGTCTTAAGATGTGTCCAAAGAAAGCAAAACTTGCATTACTATTTTACTAGAGCACACATTTATTTTAGATAAGTACTCATATAATCAAGCTCAACGAACATATATTATATATAATGAGGGTTGAAGTGACATAAAATTAATTAATTGTTCAGGAAAAAAATTACATAAATTTAAAATCTAGTTCGTTGTTGAGTTGCTGATATAGTTTTAAATAATTTAAATTATGCTGGTATAGTTTTCAATAATTTAACTAATTTAAAGAAACACTAAGTAAGGCCAAATAATACTTCCAAGTAAAATATATAATTAAATTTTGCATAGCTAATTCATGTACATCAATATTAATAAATTCAATTGCAAGATCAAGAACTACACCATGAAGCTATGAAGTTGATATCAATTTAATTGAATGCATTCGGTATTAACGTAAAATGTTATTCATGAATTGCAATGAAAATTCATGTTTTAATAGAAAGAAAAAAAAAACTTACATGAGATTTCTTATTTTTCTATGGGCATAATATATAAATATAACTTTTAATTTGATTTCAGCGAGCAAGTATATTGTCACGATCCAAAAATGGGTGTGATGGCACTCGTCTTATCCCACCAAGACAAGTCAGCCTAAAACCAAATATCTAACAAAGTGCGGAAGTAATGACAATTCAACAACAATTTCTATTATGAAACCAAATCATATTAATTCAATTTCCCAAAACCAGGTTGTCACGTGCACAAACCTCTAATGTAAATATTAGAATTGAAATAAAATAGGAGTCTAAAATGAAGTTGTCTTTCAAGTAAAAACAAAATCATAAACTGGAGTAGGAAAGTTCGCTGAGATGACAAGCAGCTACCTCACAACCCTCCACAAGATACCTCGGAAACGAAAAGAATGACAGGTATCAAGAAGATCCAGGCTCGTAACCTACAAAAATTTGTAGAAGCAAGGGGTGGGTACCAAACCACGCGGTACCCAACAAGCAAACCTCTAAACACAAGTTAAGTGAACAAAATACGAGTACTTCTTACACCCTATCTAGACCTCCACGCTACAGCCTAACAATTTACAGTTTACCAAACACACGACTCAATAACCACACTCTATCAGTTTACACATTCTCAATAACAACTCAATATTCAACAGTCACAAGCTTCACAGAAAAACAATCACAAGATTAGCAAAACACATGTTCAAGTTCATCAATAATAGAAATGTGCAATGCCATGAGATGCAATGTCAAATATCGTGATGCATGTCTTTCATAACGATACACACCCGCTGTCTCTCAGTCCGGGACCCATGGGGGACATATCTGTCCATGCATCTGTCGCTGCGCACGACACGACCCTCGATAATAGTAACCTTCGCGGCGCGCGATACGTCCCTCGAAATATAATATCCATCACGGCACGCGATACGACCCTCGAAATTAGTACATCCTCTTACCACAACCATGTCTCAGATACAATGCAAATGACATGCTCAAATGAAAAGGAGGAGATAACCATTTGATAACAAAGCACAATTTGCAACAAGAAATACAACACCAACAATTAAGCAACAAGTCTCCAAATCATTCTCAACATCACACAAGGAAATGCACGAATTTCGTACGCTTAACAAGAGTTTAGAAATCCACTTGCCTTAGTCAATCGAATAATTGCTCTTGGGTTTGAGCCTTCCCTTTCCGTTGAGCTTCCAAACCAATGGAAACTATTCAAGTATACATTCACAATAAGGTTTCAAAACTAACAACACTCACACTTTTATGTGTTTAACCTTGACCTAAAAATTGATCCCAAATTTATAATCAAGTTTGTAATTCTTGATGTCAATTGTCAATTAACATGTCAACCCTTTAAATTTTCTACAAATCTCAAGTCCATGACTAAGTTTCAATTTCTCTGAATATCATAAATCTAATGATATTCATACAATACTATTTGACTAGATATTTAACTAGATATATGAATACAACAAAACCTATTTAATATTATCTTAGAGATAAGGAAGATCCGACAATTTTTAAACCACGAAAAATAATATTAAACCCATTAAAATCGGCATAATATCACATAAAACTTAGTTGAAGTTATCCCTCGTAGTGATTGTTTAATCATGGTCAATCATTTGATATTATTAGCATATTATTTTTGATGCATCAGTTAGATGCTCTTAGGTTTTATTTAATTTTAATATTATTATTAATAATATTTTCAACTCAACCTTAAATCTTCGTGCACATATTGACCGCATAACTCAATCAATTAACAATGTTATTACTGCATATCTCATTCCTAATTCCTAATTATTAATACTAAAAAGGTCAATCATTGTTCGATCATCATGCCATTAATAGCCATTAACAATTTTCCACTAAAAAAATGTTAGCGTAGGTTATTCAAATCTAATTTCTTTTCTTTTTCTTTCAAAGCCAATTTTTTTTTACAATAATAATACTAGACTATTCATTCATATATACAATACCAGATTATGTTTGGATTACCTTGGAATTTGGCCGGTAAGTTTGGAATTCGCCGAGGTGATTGTCGCTGCTTCCTTTTTCCCAAGTTTTGTTTTCTTCTTATATTTTTTTAGTCTAAAATTATTAAACCCTACTAAATTACTTTTAAAACATTGGCCAATTAGTATAGAATATTAAATAAATTATTAAAATTGTATTCACTAATTAAATAACCATAGTAAAATTAGTAATTCAAAATTCCCATTAAAATTTTACGGAAAGGGACCTTTATTAAGAGACATAACTAGTTTTCAGAATGGCCTAGCGGGTCATTACATATATCTTCAACTTTGAGTATACACAAGCAGACACTTAAATTTATATAAAGTTAATTAAGTAGACACACATGTTTAACATGATATAGTACTCGTAGGACACAAAATTATCGTATAGAATGCTACGTAAGATAAATATGCTCATATTACTCAATTTTATACATGTATAAGTATTTATATGTGCACATTAGAATTAAAAATCATAGTTATCAGTTGTTGCTAAATTAAAGTTTATGTTTGTTATGTATTGTGTCTTTTTTTATATAAAACTCAACATAAACACATTTTATAGTAATTATTATTTATACGAAAAAGGATCAAAAATATCATTAAACTATCTAAAATAGTTTAAAATATCATGGAAATATCTGAAATAGCTCAAATATGTCATATAAATATTAATTACATTTTCGAATAACTGAAGGATATTTTGATCTTTTTCGTTATTTATATTCTACCTAGTATAAGGGCTAGAACTTTAACAGAGGCTTATTTGGTCCTTCCAAGCGCAGCGTTCATTATTCCATTGCGCATTACATCCCCTTCATCAGATTTGTTTGGTTCGTCTCTTTTTATCTTTTCCAGGTATGTGTGTATCTCCTTCTCTGTTCTCTGCATTTGTCTTGATCTCGAGTTGTGTTTTTTTCGTTATATTTCGCCTATTGATCCAATTTATCTCTTTTCTGTGCGATTTCGCGTCTTCGGATGTGTATCTGTGTTTGTTTGAACTAAATTTGGGGCTTTTTGGTTCTTTGGGCGATTTGTTATTTTGAGGCCCTTGAGCGCACTGGTTTGGTTGCTTTAGGGTTGATCTTCTCTTGTTGATATAAGTACTTTGTCAATTCGATGTCTGAGTTTCGTTAGTGATGAAGTTTCGTGGGGATTCTATATCATATAGCGAGTTACTGAATTCAATTTCTAATTTTTAACCATCTTAATTCGAGCATGGAAACATCAATTTTTAAAAATAAAAGTAAAAGAGAAAACTTTTAACTCATTGGTGACTTGGGTGTAGTAGAGAAGATAAGTGTTACTTGTAACTTGGAAGCATGCTTAAATTTTCAACTCTTTTTAGAAGTTTAAGATGGATTGAAGGTATTATATGTGGACTTTACTTTGTGAGTTGTGAAGTTTTTCAGATTTGAGTCCTTTTAAAAGATTTTTTTGGTTAAATATGATGCTTGCATTAATGATGCAGGAAATTACTGAGATAAAGGAAACTGAAAACATGACTGACGATAGAAGAGTTCACCCAGATTGTAGGAATGCTTCGAACCCTTATCATGAATGCAGCGAATATTGCTTCAAGTTAATAGCGGAAATAAAGAAGCAAATGAGCAAAGCTGAAACAGGTAAAAATTGAATTTTAAGTTGCAACACTAGAGTACTTTGACATTTTTTGGCACTAACAATTCAACTCATATCACAAAAGTTAAATCATTTGACTCTAGTTGTTTGCACTTACCCAAAGATCCAAAAAAAACCAAAGCAAACAACACCAACAATTAATAATACAAAAATATTAAATGGAAAATGTTGTCTTTTTTTGTTGCTTAGTTACCCTTTGGTTGAAGATACTGATGGGTATTGTTTCACTTGCAATTCTGTGTTCATGGGTTTAATGGACTAAAGATTAGGTTCACAAAAGGGGTCCTTGGTATTTCTAGGTTTTTCCTTTGGTCCTTGCAGACAACTGTGGTTTAATGATTTGACATCCTAGTGTATAGTAGTTGTAGTAGATCTATCAAAGAAAATGTTTAACCGGAGATAGAGTGACCAAGCAATCTTTGATAGTTATAGATGGAAAAGTGAGAGCACAAGGTGTTAGCTGATTGAGAGACATATATAGTTGTGTTGTCTCCTGCATCACTGAGGTCAAAATAGTTGGTAACTGGTAAATCAGTAAGTGAGGTGTTGGAGAATATGGCTGTCATGTCAATAGTACTATTATGAGTATGGAGTAGACATGGTGGTATAGTATGTATTAGAGCTGAAAACCACCTTCAGAAAACTTGAGATATATTCCTGCCGAACAGAGAGGTAAGAATTAAGAAAGGTAATTGGTGGTTTGTTGAAGAATTCTACCCTACTTGCCCCTAAAATAATCTTTCCTTCCACTATTCATGCCTATTACACAAGCCTATCTTTTTCTACACTAGGGCCAACCTAATCTCGCAACCACTTTTCTTTCAATATATCCTCCCAACTTTTAGTAATAGGATTGGTGCAAATATTTGTTTGTAGAAAATAAAACCACTATCATGTTACCAAGATTATAGTTAAGTTAGTGTAAAATAGATAATATATAGTTCAAGATTAAGGCATGTTCTTTTAATAAAGCCTTATGCTACCCGAATCTTTGGTGAGTGTAAAATTTCATTTTCCCTATTTTCTTACCTATCAACTTTCTCTTCCAATGTGGGCAGGGTCAAATACAAGTATCTACAATTAACTATAGGGAAGGGCGAAGCTTGGGATTTTGTTTTCCACACCTTGGAGCTACATGAATTTGAGACTTCTGGATGCAAAATCCTTGCATACTTCTAGTGCCTGAAACACAGATTTGCCTGTCAGACATGTCTGCAGTACAAGGGAGTGGGGAAAAGTAATTAATGGTGTCAAGAGTAGTTCATGGGACGGGGAAGAGTACAGTTCTTGTGAATGTTGTATTGGAACATCATGTAAAGTGTGATCGGTTTTTTGTGTTAATGCCATTGACATTGAGTAGATAAATGAGGATCTATATATGCTGAAGTGGAACTTTATCATGTCAGCAAGAGAGAAGATACTACACTGCACTGGCTAAGCCACACTTCATTTAGGTTGCACTTATATGTGTCAATGCTTAGGTAACATATGAATCTAATGATATGAGGTTGTTTAAGAACCACCTGTCTTAACTAATGCCAAAATTCCTTGGCTTTGTTTTAGCTTTTATTGATTGGGCTTTGAGTTTTTGATTTTCAGAAAGCTAGCAAAGAGTTATGGAAGTAGTATTGTCACGCCCCAAATCTGGTGGGGCAAACAAGTACCATATGAACATATATGCTGTGCAGATTATCTATGACAGGTGTAATATCAAAGAACTGTGTATTGATGACTACTAATACCGGGTGTTTACACTTTACTCTAATCCAATACATGCATGCCATGTGTTTAAATTTATAGTTTATATTACCTAACTTTAATTAATTAACATGTGTTTTACTCCATTAAATCACATAATAATGGAAATTTAATTAGTTTGGTGTAAACATTCGGTGCAGGTAAGTTTTTTCCCTATAAAAGGCATGACCAACTGATACAAAAGACAAAACTATAGTGTCCATGTACCCTCTAAAAGAGTAAGAAACTTGTTGATTTTAAAAAAAGAGTTAGAAACTTTGCAACTGTCTAGCAGTCGTGATAGGGCCCCACCATACCCATACTTTACAAATATATAAAACAAAATAGAATACTAATTCCATCCTTCTTTCCTTTCATTTAATATAGTTCTACATATACACTTAGCTCAATCAAGTAGCATATCGAAATAAATTACCAAGTAGATAGTCCAAACAGGTAGGACGTTTACGCTAGTAGGTGAAGCATATTCACTTGTATTTGTAAGTCTCATTCCCTCAAAACTATATTCTTCACTTTAGTATAGTTGGATAGTTACTTTGACTCAAATTTAGCCTCACTTTCACATATTTGAATAATTTTTTTGACATTAACTTAGTCGTACATATGTTGAAACGTATAGGGTATTACAATAATTGCTAGTGTGATGTGCTCTTGCCTCTTAAGCCTCTCTTTCGCCACGATGAGCCCAACAATGGCTCTTTTCATACGTGGCTTGAACCCCCAATCTTATGGTAGGAGGTAAAAGGTCTTTACTACTATGCTATATCTCTATTTCTTTTATGCATGTCAACTTGCACAGATTTCATATAATTGTAGCTGCACCTCCCACCAACACAAGTATAGGGTAACCTATATACCAAGACTTGGACAGATGAAAATAAATTGCCTAATGTTTTTGCCTCTATTGGAATTTGAACCTGAGACTTCATGATTTTCAACCATTTTATTGACCACTAGCTACACCCTTGGGATGTCTATACCTCTATAAAGCCTTACTTGCATTGGTTGCAGGAAGAAAACTATACTTAGATAAAAGATAAAAGTATTTCTAGCATGATTTGTTGGAGATGCTAACATGTTATGTTTAACTAGTAAAGCTCACGTAAGTGTTTCCTCAAGCATTTCTTTGCTAGCACTTTTGTTTCTAAGTAGAGCTAATGCCTAATGTTTGCTCCCGTAGAATGGCAAATTTGTTGTATCTTTCCTAGCCTGACCTTCTTCATGCGCTATCAGGTGTATTGCAAGCTAATACTGTTGATGTTCATCCCTCCTCTGTTGTGAGTTCCGATGGGGGTGAAGGTGCACCTGATGAAAGGGATGTTGTTGGAAGTCACAGTGATGCAGATGATCAAGCTGATGGAGAGGATAATATGGGACAAGATGCCGCGAATCTCACAGGGAGGAAGAAGAAGTTATTTGAATTGAGGTTAAAAATGGTAATTGCAAATATGATTCTTTTCTGTTCATTTAGAAATCAATGCTATTATTCTGTCAGCTTCTCTATTACGCTCCTCCTCTTAAGGGACCTCCATCTTTTTCAATTTGTTTGTCTTGCTTTCCTTTTCAGTTTGTTTAAAAAGAATGTCATTTTCTATATTTAGTAATTATTTACACTCAAATTTAAGCCATAAGGTTCAAATTTCATTTTGGTACATTACATAAATATTTTGTTTAAGACCACAAGATTCAAAAGTCTTACTCCCTCCGTTTCACAAAGAATGATCTGGTTTGACTTGACATGGAATTTAAGAGTATACAGAAGACTTTTTTATCTTGTGGTCCTAAATTAAAGTTAGGTTAAATATACAAAATTGTCCTTTGATCTTGTTGATCTTGTGGCCTTAAACATGCCACATGGAAAGTTGATTTTAAAATGTTACCAAAATAAAAAAGAGGTCATTCTTTTTGAAACGGACTATAGAGGAAAGGAGGTCATTCTTTTTGAAACGGAGGGAGTATTTATTTTTTAACTCCGTGCAGAATCAAATTAAGGCAAACAAATTGATATGGAGGGAATACTTCGTTTTCTCAAAAGAATATTTCATCTTCTTGGTTTCTTTTCTTCTTTATAGTATCTTCTATCAAATTATTTATACTCTAGTTTATGGAATTTTATGCAGAATGAGGCAAGAAAAGCTAATCAATCTGCAATGGTAGCAGAGAAGAAAAAAACAGAAGCTCCACCAGAGTCTAGGGGAATGTCCAAGCAAAAATGGATTGAGGAGAGGAAGAAGAAAATTGGAAAGTTGTTGGATGCCAATGGGTTAGATATGAGCAAGGCATATATGCTAGATACACAAGAGTCTGCAGAGGTTAAGTACAAGAAGTGGGAGAAGGAGCCTGCTCCAGCTGGTTGGGATGGTACGACTGATTTTTCATCAAAGTTCTATTTCCGGACATCTACTCCCCACCCCTCCACCAAAGAACAGAGAAGAAAATTTAAAAAAAGAATTTTTTTTTGCATGATTACTAAAGCTTTCAAATATAGCACGAAATATGTCTCTGAGAAAAGCTCACTTTGTTTCAACACGCTACCCTTAGCTGCTCGGTGAGATTTATGTGTGATTCTCCACTTCCTTTAAGGTCAATGAGGAAGTAAGTTCTTGACCATCATGATTCGTTGGTATCAACTCTTCAAAGAAATGAAAGTGTATAGGGCTTTTAGAAATGCACATTAAGCTGTGCTTGAGTTTTTGGTATGCTTCAACTACTTAAGAGTGTGTATAGACTTAATAGTATGACATAGAGAAGGAATATGAATAGGAAAGCTAAATTGATGTGTTCACCTTATAACAGAAAAATATTATTTAGCAAAATGATGGATTACATAAGAACGGGAGACCAGTTGGAGTAGGATTTCAAAAGAACTACGTTTTAGAATATATTTCCTCACAAGGGACAAGACAAATCAACTACAGTTTGGTGGAATATGTCCTGATTTACACTTCTACTTTAGGAGGATAACGAAATTAGTGTGTTATCTATTTCTAGAAATTTCAGCTAGGTAAACCGGTTACTATTTTGTTCTTACAACAACTACTATGCCTTAATCCCAAGCCAGTTGAGGTCGGTTGTATGATTCCTCAATATCATTAATGCTCTGTTTGTCCATAATATTTCAGTACTCCCTACTTGAGCATTATCTTATACTAGGGGTTCTCTAATATATTGTAGGTTACATCTCTAAAAGACTAAACACTAGTCCTCTAGTTGGTATCGTCTGTACGGATTTTTAACTTGCACTATCTTTTAGCTTTTTGCTAGGTCTACCAAAATTTTGAGATATTTTAGATCTTTTGTGATAAATGATAATTTCCTTGCATGTGGTTTAGATATACCTCCTATTTTAACACCTTCAATCATCATGTTGTCTCATCTAAGAAGCGGTGCATTCAGAAGCCTGTGTGACACGTTGCGAATCCATCTCAAGTGTGATTCTCTTATTTTATCCTCTATCTGTGCTACTTGTCCCATCTAATGGAGGGATGTGTTCATTTCTGATCTTACTTAATCTCTGTAAGACTGCAATCTATTTTAATATTCCCATTCTTGCGACACTCACTTTGTCGATTTGTTGGGCTATAGAAGCCCAATATTCACTCTGATATAACATTGTTGGTCTTATAGTTGTTTTATAGAAGCCTTCCACTTTGGTAGATATTTTCCTAGCACATTACACTCCTGCTGAACTCCTCCATATCAGCCATCCTACTTAAATCCTAGATGGAACATCTTCATCATCATTCTATTCTATTGGAACATTGAGCCTGGATGTCTAAACGGTCTAGGTACCTCAATTCATCCTATTTCACATCAACGCATGCTGAGATTTAATGAGTCTAATTGGAAAGATTACATTTTTACGGTTGTGGGCTTTGTTATGTTGCAACTGGGAATTAGTTAGACTCCTTCATTTGAATTAAATTCTAATATTCTATCATTTTCAAAGTTTCTTTATGGAGACTTTTATAGAGCTATGTTGGGAGAAGTTATAATTATCTCTGACTGACTCTGTATTCTGGCAAAAATTCTCATGTATTTGCCAGCCTTGGATTATCTAGCTTGAATTGAAGGTAGAAAGATGGAGTCCGGTCTACTGGGTATTGATTGTGCAATTTGTATTGTCATGCACGAATTTTCAAACTGCTAGCCCGTAAGGGAAAGCTAGAATTCTTTTCAATTTTCTGTCTTATGCTTCTGTAGAGTAGTAGTAAATATATGATATATTTCTGAGCTTTCAGTGAGACATGGTAAAAGTATCCGATTTTCTTATAGTTCACTCCCTTGTTTTGAAAACATTGTTGACCTACATTGATGATCCTTTTTTTTCCCCTGGCAGTTTGGAAGTTTTGGATTGTGATGCAGTTGTATATGGTGAAGCTGATCTGATTTCCTTACCTATGTTATTTTTCATTTTTCAGTTTTTAATCAGAAGACGCTATACGATGCATACAAGAAGCGGACAAAGAATGTTGCTGTTGATGTAGATGAGTACAATAGAATGAAGGAAGCTGACCCAGAATTTTATCGAGAAGCTTCTAGTCTCCAGTATGGGAAGGTAAGCTTCAGCCATGATACTTAGATTTGTTTTTTTTTAATTAATTTCACACTTTAGAAAATAGACAACCTACACTGACATTTTTCAATTGTACAGGCACCAAAATTATCAGACGACAAGATAGAGAGGATGGTGAAGGAGCTCAAGGACAGGGATGAGAAGCGCCAATCATTTAGTCGGAGGAGAAAGTTCCATGAAGAGAAAGACATTGACTCTATTAATGATCGTAACGAGCACTTCAATAAAAAGATTGAACGTGCATTTGGAAAATACACCTTGGAGATCAAGAATAACCTCGAGAGAGGAACTGCATTACCTGATTGAGGTATTAACATGCCATGTCAATGTGTACTTTTCTGTATCCTAGAGCAGTCTTATGACGAGGATGCTCCTTGATCTGTTGCTTTCCTGTATCATGATTTCAGTGATATGAATTTCTATCTCTCAACCTGATGCAAATACTTGTAAGTTCTATTATTTGCAAGAAACTTTTTATTGTAGACCAGAAAAATGTAAATATCTAAAATCCTTTCCCCTCCCTAAATGAAAAGGTTTGAATAGGGAAATGATCTATTAAGAGTATGAGCTTTTTTTTGAGACTGGTAGGATTATTACTGACCATTTGACACATTAGCAGGAAGTATTATATCTTTACATAGACAGATACTGGTAATGAAGAATTTCCATTTCTTAGCAATTTATATGGCAAATGAGAAGGTAGAGGAACTTCTTATTGAATATAGTGCACTGGTCGTGTCGATTGTTTCACAGTATCAGGTGCTTAAATTTGTTTGCAGAGAGGTTCAAGTGAGTGATTTAATAATGGTTTGGCCATAATCTGCACAAAGTTCTCTCATGAATGGTGAGTTGTGTACGTAGAAAGCTATCCACAATATCACCTCGGATATGTTAAGTTTAAATCATTTCTGGGCTTTGGTTATGCATTTTTGGGTTTTGCTTTTACTGAAGCTATTGCCTTGTATAGAAACTTGCGGATTCCCCTGCTATACATTACAACACCTTGCTCCTCTTACAGGAGCAGCTCTGGCTGAATATTTTATGTATGGTGAACGCTGGTGTCAACCAGTTTTCCAAGGCATACTGCAAAATCCTTTGTTGATAATAGTAAGTAAGGTTCACCCATTACTAAGAGTATTGAATCATCCACTCTTCACTGTAAAATCCTTTGTTGACATATGGTACCATTTTATTATATCCAGATTTGAATCAACGTTGTTTTACCCTTACCTCGAAAAGGTAAAGTCTGTGTATACTCTATCATCCTGAAATCCTACTGGTGTGGTGGTACTCCGCTGGTATGTTTGTTGTGGTATGAGTCTAGTCTTAAATTATTACTCTAGCGAAGAAGGCCCCAATATGAAAAAGTTCTCACTAAACTAACTAGCTGTGGATGCTGCCAATTCTGTTTTGATGATGCAAAATAAAGCTAATGGTTTTTATGCTGAGTTAGAAAAAGATAATGGGGACCTACAATTGTTTAGGTTTTTGGTCCTTTTGCATGTGAATCCACAGTAAAGGCACTTCTCGATCTTAGCACCCTTCCCACTTCACATGACAAGTGTGCCTTTATTGGTCTCTCTATTCTATAAATTCTCCCATCTCTCTTCTTCCTTTTTCTTTACTACGCTATTCGTTCATTTTATTACTCACTATTTCAAAAATATTTTTATACCTCTTTTTGTTATATTTTGGAATAAAAATGACCTCGCCATTATCTTAAGACAACAAATATCTCAAATAGTTAACTCAATTTTTTAGTGGCGTGAAATTTATTAATATTCCCAACAAAAGGAAAAAAGATAAATATGCCTTCAAACTGTTCTAGATGATATGCAGATATTTTCGGTCATACTGTTGGGATGTTGGTGCTCTGCCGTTCAAAAAACTAGAATATATATATATATATATATATATATATATATATATATACTATTATTATAT